TGTCACCACGTCACCATGTCACCAGGTTAATTAACTTCTCTTAAAAATGATGACAACATGACATTTTGACAACATCACTGGAAATTTGATGCAGTCCAAAAATAAAGTTAGTTTTAAAATTATTTTTATTTTTTTATTCCTATATAAATGACAGCAACAAACAACAACAGCAACTATATCGTTTCTGATGAAAAAGTTATTGATTCATTAGCTAAGGAATTAGTTGTGGCAGAAACTAAAACCCTCAACGAAAGAATTGGTGAAAAAAGATTGATTTACATAACTACCTCAAACATGATGGAGGAAGAGGAAGGAAACTGGTATGGCTTTATTAGTAAATAAAATTTCAAATTTAACGATTATAGATGTTGATATCAATAAATCGTACAATGATGAACTTAAAGAAACAGTTAGAAAAGATATTTTATCAAAACTTTCGGATAAAGATGTTATCGTTAAAACCGCTTCAGGAGGTCTTCACATTTATTGCAACACTAATTTCTTCTATGCAGTTTCGAACAGAATGATTAAATGCTATTCCTGCAATGATTATGATATTGATATAATGACTTCTATGGATGATTCAAAGCGTTCTTTAGTAGTTATGGCTGATTCAAGAGTTCGCAAGAATGCAACAGAACCAATCAATGCATACTCATTCATTCGTGGAAGTTATGATTCAACATTAACTAGAACAGTGAATGATATATTAAATGATTTGAATATTAAGGTAAGAGTTGAACAGAAGAATGAAGAAATAAAGACTATCATGAATGAAAACAAAGATGTAAACATTGACGATAAACTTGCCCAGAGCATAGTTGATGGCATCTGTGATTTTGAAGTACATAATGACGGTGGAAACATGAATTTAGAAAAAGAAATAACATTATTCACACTGTTTCAAGCAATTAATTCGTTACCTAATCATTTCATTAATGAAGCATACGATAACGTTTATAACTTCTGCAATTTAACTGAAAATGCAAAAAGTAATTTTGAAAAAGCACGTAGTAGATATGCACATTTAATGACTTCTCCATTTGTTTTAGTGAAGATTCTAAAACTATATCAAAAGGAATATTATGATGAATACGTTTTACCTTTATTACGTAAGCCAAAAATAACATTTGATATAAAACTTGATGACTCGTTTTTGATAACAGATATTAGACGCAAGGCTGAAAATCATCAGTATAAAAACAGTTCTGAAGTAATTGAGGATTTATCACGTGTAATCCGTTTTGTAGATTGTGGAAACAAATACTTCATTCAAAAGGACTATAATATCCACGACAAAATGAATCAAATATCATTCGTTCTTCAATCAAACATGAAAGAGTCACTCAAAATGATTAAATTATTTAAAGAAGAAGGTAAAACCATAACAGCATGGGACGTACTACTAAATCAATTGTCTTCATTAACCGTTAAGGGTGTTTGCTTTAAATCTGATTCTCCAGATGTTTTCTCAACGTTTCAGGGTTATAAATACAACGTTCTCGAAAAACCAGATTACTCAAAAATTGAGATGTTTATGAATTTCATTAAAGAAGCCATTTGTGATAATAACGATGAAGTGTATAAATACCTTCTCGGCTGGATTGCATCAATGATTCAACATCCTGGAATCAAGAATGAAACAGCAATTATTTTGAAAGGACTTCAGGGAACAGGTAAAAACAGATTTACAGACATTATTTCTGAACTTCTCGCCGGTTATTCATGTAAAAACATTACTGAAATAAGTGAGCTAACGGGTAATTTCAATTCAGTTGTTGAGAATAAAATGTTTCTTGTACTTAATGAACTCAAGAATGTAGGTGAAGATAGACTCGCAAACTTCAACGCTTTGAAATCAATTATTACGGATAATGAGATTAGAATTAATGAAAAGAATCAACCCAGAAGAACTGCTCAGAACGTTGCAAACTTCATTTTCGTAACTAACAACGTTTACCCTGTCAAAATTGAAGTTGGAGACAGAAGATACGTAGTTTTAAGAGTTAATGGTAAATTTAAGGGTCAATTTGATTACTTCAAGAATTTAATGGATTCATGCACAAAGGAATTTTATGATAATTTACTAACATATTTTATGCAATATGACCTTTCATCATTTAATGTACGAATCATACCGATGACTGAAGCCAAACAAGATTTAATTGAATTATCAACAAATCCTTTAGATGTATGGATAAATACACATTATGATGAATTGTGTGCAGGTATGACGTGTAAAAATGCTCTATTCTGCAAACCATCAGACATGAAAGACAAAAACTTTCAAATGAGCATTAAAGATAAATGTGAAAGGAAACAGAGAAGAATAGATGGTAAACAAACATGGTGTTATGTTTTGAAAGAAGAAATGAAAGGATTATATAAACAGGTTGAACCAAACGATAATGAGGATTCATTTACTGACGATGAAATACCTGTAAATGAAGCTTTATAAAGTATGATTTGAATTTATTTTTGCATTAATCCTGCTGTGTTGTCAAAATGTCATGTTGTCACACTTTTTAAAAGAAGTTTAATTAACCTGGTGACATGGTGACGTGGTGACACTTGAAAACATTAACGAAATCATTATATGAAAAATTTACGAAATCATTAATGATAAAATATATTTCCGGGCTTGTTGTCAAAATGTCATGTTGTCATCATTTTTAAGAGAAGTTAATTAACCTGGTGACACATGGTGACGTGGTGACACCATCAGTTATTCAAAATAATTCTAAATGCCTTCCTCCTTTCGTACCTGTTGTCAAATGTCATGTTGTCATCATTTTTAAAAGAAGTTAATTAACCAGGTGACACATGGTGACGTAGTGACACCTTCAGTTCTTCAAAAATATATTTTTGGTGAAGAGTGAGATGTCACCCGTTTTCTCACCTCATTCTCTCTTCGTAATGTTGTCGTGACTTCTTCGTTAATGTTGTCGTGACTTCATTCTTCCTCTTTGAAGTTATCGAAATATTCTGTTTTTTTTCCTTCAGTAATGGTAAGTCTTCTTTGAAGGTAAGTATGTGCAACCTTTGATGTCATAGTGTGTTTGAGGAAGAGTATTTTTGACAATTTCTTTTATTTGCTCATTCGGTGTCATTGAAATCGGTAAGTTTTCACGATAGAACCAGTTTCTGTCAGATTTTATATATTTTAGCAAGGTCGTAAAAGCTTTTGTTGTTTCTTCTGACTAAATGCAACATAACCATTCTTTATCTTCTTCTTTCTCCAACTCTTCAGTATATATCATTACTTATAACTCTTTTCCTTTCCTTTTGGTTACTGAACGTGGTATTCTTTTCTGTATGCTTTTGTCTTTGGATTCAATGACTTCATCTTTTGCTTGAAGTTCTTTTCCATCTCTCCACGTTCTTGTCTGTGAAGTTCGTCAAGAAGTTTGTAAATATTCCAAGCATAACGTGGTGAAGCCCACATTGCAACTGCATTTACTAAAAGTCTATGAACATAATATCCTCTCAAAACCGTTTGGCAATTTTTCACGGTTTTCATAGAGTTTTGGCGACTGGATTTTTTACCTACTCGCTGTTCTTCACTGTTTTCAGAAAAAAGTACGTCTCGCTGTGCTTCACTTAATAGTTCTATGGTGCTTTGGTTCCTAAACCAGTCTTTAGGAAGCTTAGTATCTGGAGCAAAACAAGCCGTCAAAATACTTTGCATTTGGTACATGTCGTCTTTGACAGAACGAATGAGTCTCAATTGTTTGTTAATACTGTATGTATTCGTATTCTTCATTTATGACTTCATGAACGATAGCAGTTGTTGTGTTCTCAATGTTGACATATCTGTCTTTACATACAGGATAAAAAAATAAATAAAATAAAACTAACTTTATTTTTTTTGAGATAAACACTATTTCTTCACAACATTAATTTTATCCTGTATGAAATGACTTTAAAAAGATTATTGACTGACTTCGAATACTATCTCATTGACGCACTGACAGACCCTCAAAACTGTGTTGAAAGTTCTTTAAGCTTTAAGATTGAAGGTACGACGCATTTTGTCTTCACTTACGTATTGAAAGAATATGACCGTTATCATAACGAAGTGAATCAAACACTAATAAAATTTGTAGATAAAAAATTGGTTAACAATGAATATTTTAAACGTGAAGACCCAAACACTGCTGGAGATGATGAAGAATACAGACAAGTTATTGAAAAAATAACCCAAGATTAGATGCAATAGAAAAGAAGTTTAATGAATGTCTTACAAACACGTATGAATATCTTATGCAGTGGGAAGCCAGATGGAAATAAATTTACGTCAAATATGCAATTTATAAAATCTTATGTCGACAGGCTACGTAGCACAGTGGTCTAAGGGTGGTGTTATGGAGGGGTCAGGGTCTGTGGTTCGAACCGCGACAGCGCCGTATTTTCTTATTTTCTTTATTTGTCTTGTTTGTCGTGAATAAAAAGTGTCAAAAAGTGCTCTATCTTCCACGGGAATAAATAAAAAATTTACTTTATTTCTTCTTTATTTCTTTGTTCCCGTGGAAGAAGGGTTTTTGCCGTTTTTTCTCAGCCGAAATCAACGATTTTTTCATTTTTGGAAAGGGGTCAGGGTCTGTGGTTCGAACCGCGACAGCGCCGTATTTTCTTATTTTCTTTATTTGTCTTGTTTGTCGTGAATAAAAAGTGTCATAAAAGTGCTCTATCTTCCACGGGAATAAATAAAAAATTTACTTTATTTCTTCTTTATTTCTTTGTTCCCGTGGAAGAAGGGTTTTTGCCGTTTTTTCTCAGCCGAAATCAACGATTTTTTCATTTTTGGAATCCTTAGCAAATGAGGAATCTTTTCTCTCGTGGAAGCTTTGTCATAACTTCTTCGTAAATGCTTTGTCATAACTTCTTCGTAAATGCTTTGTCATGACTTCTTCGTAAATGAGTGTAAATGACCAAAAATAATGTTTAGGTGAAGAGGTGAGATGTCACCCGTTTTCTCACCTGTTTTCTCACCTCTTTTTTCACAAGCGTTTCACATGAATTGTACGATGTATATTTGAAATTCTAAACAATTTCGTAGCTTCTATTTCTTCTGTCAGTACATCGAATGTTTTAACAATGCCGAAAGTTTCTTTATACTTCTTCTTGACGTCAGATAGAAGGAAATCTTCTGCTGTTGGATAATTTTTATTAAGAAATTCTAACATGTTCATTTTATCTTCTGCTGGCTTTTCTGCTTCTTTCTTTAAGTCTGCATAGTCGTTTCGCATTCTTTCTATCTCTTTGACGGAGTAGTTATATTTCCTCATTGCTGCTTTACATTTAGAACATTGTGGGTTCATTTTTGCGTTATATTCTGAAACCTTACCTGCTAAAACAACCAAGGCGTCAATGGTTTTCTTTAACTCAAACATAGCGGGTCTTATTTGTTCATTCCATACCTTACCTCTTCTATCTTTATCTCTTATCTGCCATACACATTCTGCAACTAACGAAACAAAGTTGTCGTAGGTCTTAAATTCTTCAGATTTATATATGTCAGAAATATTCTTATATACCATGTCGCAATCTTTGTCCATAACCTTATGGTTGCAATGAAAACCAAGGAATTCATAATTTACTTTACGTATGAACTTCTTTATTTCTACTGAGTCAGTTGCTTTGACTTCAATTTCGTCAAATTCGGGAATGGTTAGTTTTTGTTGTTGGATTTCAGGCAATTTGGGCAAATGGTCAATAATGTCCTGCATGTCATAAAGATACTGTTCATTTGTTTCATCTTTCGCACTACAGTCTAAATTACTTGTTAAAAGTTCTTGCTTTATCTTCTGGATTTCTGTTTCGAAAGTAAATGAAGAAGGAATGAAGCTTTTCATTTCTACCAACATTGACGTAGGATTCATAACTAACGAGTTTGGTGCTGTAGTTTGAATTGTTGTTGTGCCGATTGTTGAAATCATATCTTTACATACAAAATAAAAAAAATAAATAAAATAAAACTAACTTTATTTTTTCTATCTTAAGGAAATTCATGAAAATTCACGAGGGTGAGAAAACAGGTGAGAAAACGGGTGACACCTCACCTCTTCACCTAAACATTATTTTTGGTCATTTACACTCATTTACGAAGAAGTCATGACAAAGCATTTACGAAGAAGTTATGACAAAGCATTTACGAAGAAGTTATGACAAAGCTTCCACGAGAGAAAAGATTCCTCATTTGCTAAGGATTCCAAAAATGAAAAAATCGTTGATTTCGGCTGAGAAAAAACGGCAAAAACCCTTCTTCCACGGGAACAAAGAAATAAAGAAGAAATAAAGTAAATTTTTTATTTATTCCCGTGGAAGATAGAGCACTTTTATGACACTTTTTATTCACGACAAACAAGACAAATAAAGAAAATAAGAAAATACGGCGCTGTCGCGGTTCGAACCACAGACCCTGACCCCTCCATAACACCACCTTAGACCACTGTGCTACGTAGCCTGTCGACATAAGATTTTATAAATTGCATATTTGACGTAAATTTATTTCCATCTGGCTTCCCACTGCATAAGATATTCATACGTGTTTGTAAGACATTCATTAAACTTCTTTTCTATTGCATCTAATCTTGCGTTATTTTTTTCAATAACTTGTCTGTATTCTTCATCATCTCCAGCAGTGTTTGGGTCTTCACGTTTAAAATATTCATTGTTAACCAATTTTTTATCTACAAATTTTATTAGTGTTTGATTCACTTCGTTATGATAACGGTCATATTCTTTCAATACGTAAGTGAAGACAAAATGCGTCGTACCTTCAATCTTAAAGCTTAAAGAACTTTCAACACAGTTTTGAGGGTCTGTCAGTGCGTCAATGAGATAGTATTCGAAGTCAGTCAATAATCTTTTTAAAGTCATTTCATACAGGATAAAATTTAATGTTGTGAAGAAATAGTGTTTATCTCAAAAAAAATAAAGTTAGTTTTTATTTTATTTATTTTTTTATCCTGTATGTAAAGACAGATATGTCAACATTAGAGAACACAACAACTGCTATCGTTCATGAAGTCATAAATGAAGAATACGAATACATACAGTATAACAAACAATTGAGACTCATTCGTTCTGTCAAAGACGACATGTACCAAATGCAAAGTATTTTGACGGCTTGTTTTGCTCCAGATACTAAGCTTCCTAAAGACTGGTTTAGGAACCAAAGCACCATAGAACTATTAAGTGAAGCACAGCGAGACGTACTTTTTTCTGAAAACAGTGAAGAACAGCGAGTAGGTAAAAAATCCCAGTCGCCAAAACTCTATGAAAACCGTGAAAAATTGCCAAACGGTTTGAGAGGATATTATGTTCATAGACTTTTAGTAAATGCAGTTGCAATGTGGGCTTCACCACGTTATGCTTGGAATATTTACAAACTTCTTGACGAACTTCACAGACAAGAACGTGGAGAGATGGAAAAGAAACTTCAAGCAAAAGATGAAGTCATTGAATCCAAAGACAAAAGCATACAGAAAAGAATACCACGTTCAGTACCAAAAGGAAAGGAAAAGAGTTATAAGTATATGATATATACTGAAGAGTTGGAGAAAGAAGAAGATAAAGATATGGTTATGTTGCATTTAGTCAGAAGAAACAACAAAAGCTTTTACGACCTTGCTAAAATATATAAATCTGACAGAAACTGGTTCTATCGTGAAAACTTACCGATTTCAATGACACCGAATGAGCAAATAAAAGAAATTGTCAAAAATACTCTTCCTCAAACACACTATGACATCAAAGGTTGCACAATACTTACCTTCAAAGAAGACTTACCATTACTGAAGGAAAAAATAACAGAATATTTCGATAACTTCAAAGAGGAAGAATGAAGTCACGACAACATTAACGAAGAAGTCACGACAACATTAACGAAGAGAGAATGAGGTGAGAAAACGGGTGACATCTCACCTCTTCACCAAAAATATATTTTTGAAGAACTGAAGGTGTCACTACGTCACCATGTGTCACCTGGTTAATTAACTTCTTTTAAAAATGATGACAACATGACATTTTGACAACAGGTACGAAAGGAGGAAGGCATTTATGAATTATTTTTGAATAACTGATGGTGTCACCACGTCACCATGTGTCACCAGGTTAATTAACTTCTCTTAAAAATGATGACAACATGACATTTTGACAACAAGCCCGGAAATATATTTTATCATTAATGATTTCGTAAATGTTTTCATTAATGATTTCGTTAATGTTTTCAGTGTCACCACGTCACCATGTCACCAGGTTAATTAACTTCTTTTAAAAAGTGTGACAACATGACATTTTGACAACACAGCAGGATTAATGCAAAAATAAATTCAAATCATACTTTATAAAGCTTCATTTACAGGTATTTCATCGTCAGTAAATGAATCCTCATTATCGTTTGGTTCAACCTGTTTATATAATCCTTTCATTTCTTCTTTCAAAACATAACACCATGTTTGTTTACCATCTATTCTTCTCTGTTTCCTTTCACATTTATCTTTAATGCTCATTTGAAAGTTTTTGTCTTTCATGTCTGATGGTTTGCAGAATAGAGCATTTTTACACGTCATACCTGCACACAATTCATCATAATGTGTATTTATCCATACATCTAAAGGATTTGTTGATAATTCAATTAAATCTTGTTTGGCTTCAGTCATCGGTATGATTCGTACATTAAATGATGAAAGGTCATATTGCATAAAATATGTTAGTAAATTATCATAAAATTCCTTTGTGCATGAATCCATTAAATTCTTGAAGTAATCAAATTGACCCTTAAATTTACCATTAACTCTTAAAACTACGTATCTTCTGTCTCCAACTTCAATTTTGACAGGGTAAACGTTGTTAGTTACGAAAATGAAGTTTGCAACGTTCTGAGCAGTTCTTCTGGGTTGATTCTTTTCATTAATTCTAATCTCATTATCCGTAATAATTGATTTCAAAGCGTTGAAGTTTGCGAGTCTATCTTCACCTACATTCTTGAGTTCATTAAGTACAAGAAACATTTTATTCTCAACAACTGAATTGAAATTACCCGTTAGCTCACTTATTTCAGTAATGTTTTTACATGAATAACCGGCGAGAAGTTCAGAAATAATGTCTGTAAATCTGTTTTTACCTGTTCCCTGAAGTCCTTTCAAAATAATTGCTGTTTCATTCTTGATTCCAGGATGTTGAATCATTGATGCAATCCAGCCGAGAAGGTATTTATACACTTCATCGTTATTATCACAAATGGCTTCTTTAATGAAATTCATAAACATCTCAATTTTTGAGTAATCTGGTTTTTTCGAGAACGTTGTATTTATAACCCTGAAACGTTGAGAAAACATCTGGAGAATCAGATTTAAAGCAAACACCCTTAACGGTTAATGAAGACAATTGATTTAGTAGTACGTCCCATGCTGTTATGGTTTTACCTTCTTCTTTAAATAATTTAATCATTTTGAGTGACTCTTTCATGTTTGATTGAAGAACGAATGATATTTGATTCATTTTGTCGTGGATATTATAGTCCTTTTGAATGAAGTATTTGTTTCCACAATCTACAAAACGGATTACACGTGATAAATCCTCAATTACTTCAGAACTGTTTTTATACTGATGATTTTCAGCCTTGCGTCTAATATCTGTTATCAAAAACGAGTCATCAAGTTTTATATCAAATGTTATTTTTGGCTTACGTAATAAAGGTAAAACGTATTCATCATAATATTCCTTTTGATATAGTTTTAGAATCTTCACTAAAACAAATGGAGAAGTCATTAAATGTGCATATCTACTACGTGCTTTTTCAAAATTACTTTTTGCATTTTCAGTTAAATTGCAGAAGTTATAAACGTTATCGTATGCTTCATTAATGAAATGATTAGGTAACGAATTAATTGCTTGAAACAGTGTGAATAATGTTATTTCTTTTTCTAAATTCATGTTTCCACCGTCATTATGTACTTCAAAATCACAGATGCCATCAACTATGCTCTGGGCAAGTTTATCGTCAATGTTTACATCTTTGTTTTCATTCATGATAGTCTTTATTTCTTCATTCTTCTGTTCAACTCTTACCTTAATATTCAAATCATTTAATATATCATTCACTGTTCTAGTTAATGTTGAATCATAACTTCCACGAATGAATGAGTATGCATTGATTGGTTCTGTTGCATTCTTGCGAACTCTTGAATCAGCCATAACTACTAAAGAACGCTTTGAATCATCCATAGAAGTCATTATATCAATATCATAATCATTGCAGGAATAGCATTTAATCATTCTGTTCGAAACTGCATAGAAGAAATTAGTGTTGCAATAAATGTGAAGACCTCCTGAAGCGGTTTTAACGATAACATCTTTATCCGAAAGTTTTGATAAAATATCTTTTCTAACTGTTTCTTTAAGTTCATCATTGTACGATTTATTGATATCAACATCTATAATCGTTAAATTTGAAATTTTATTTACTAATAAAGCCATACCAGTTTTCCTTCCTCTTCCTCCATCATGTTTGAGGTAGTTATGTAAATCAATCTTGTTTTCACCAATTCTT